CTGTTAATTCTGCATTATACCAAAGTGTGCTTGATGAGAAGGTAAGGCCATCTGTCTGGAAGTTGAACTGAAAATGGATCTTTAAGTATGATAATAATTCGAAGCACACTAGCAAATTCTCCAAGGAATCACCCATAAACATGGAGGGATATGGGTGGGCCTAGTCAGAGCCAACTTATCGAAATATTGTGGGGGGGATTTGAATTGGGCCGCTCATGCATGCAGACCCAAAAACATCTTGCAGCTGAAGCATTGTAGGAGTGGTCAGAAATGTCACCATGGAGTTGACGTGAAGTCTCACGTGTAAATCAAAACGCCTGCAAAAAGTCATTTCTGCTAAAAGGGGCAATACCAGCATCTGAGGTCAAAGGTGAACTTCAGTGAAGTCTATAATATGCTGCACTTGGTGTATAAAGTAAAGGAATAAATAAATTAACTGTGTCACCTGTAAAACAACTGTGTCTCACATATCAATAAATGACTGTGGATAAATACATGTGTTCTCTTCCATTGTTGATTATTAGATGAATTGATAAAGTGATTCCTTCTGAACGTGAATTATTTACCGAAAAGCCTGTGTGATCTCTTACACCTTACTTAATGTGCAAATCTTCTCTAGTGTTAATATCAGATGTGACTGAGTGTTGTTTCCTCCAATAGTTTGGAGGTAAACTAGGGTTGCACAGATACCAAGTACAGTACTCGGTACAAGTACGAGTACATGTACCGATACCTTTGAGCTCCAAGACTAGACTAGACTAGAGAAAAATTCAAAAATTAGGAGGCAGCTGTCATTTGTAAGGAGACACGGAGCTCTTGGGATTTGTACATCTCTGTTTTCATGTACGATTTTGTTTTTATAAATATATATAAAGGGATGCACAGATACCAGTTTTGCGAGTACGAGTACTGGTACTTACAAATACGAGTACTGATACATTTTTGTTTATTGTCAAGTGACAGTTTTTCTAAAACAATACAGACTAATGATTTCAGGACAGTGGTGGAGTGCCAGAGCCCGGTCCCAGCTGCAACCACTGCAACCATGGTAGTTCTCATGGAAATGCCAAGTATCTGCACTGGTACTCGAAAAGTATCTGTGCATCCCTAAGGTAAACATACCCCTAGTGTTTGGGACAATTGTAGTGTAACCTTGTGATAATGAAGATTTTTTTTATGTAGCTTATAAGCTTGTGAATATAAACAGTATGAAAAACAAACAAATATGGAGAAACCAAATGAGAGGGAGCTTTCCTGTTGCACCACTCAGCTGTTCAATGCCTTGATCTAACCGTCAGAAATCTCCCAGGGGAGTTAGTGTCAAAATATGATCCTACATCTGGGGTATCATTCCAATCTGATCAATGAGCAAAGATCGGCAAGTCCATTTAATGTCCTGACACCGCAAATAAGTCATCAGGTCGATTTTACTGTCGGAGAAGGTCAATTGACCAATCATCTATGTCACCCCGACTTGCGAGCAGTAGCGTGTGAGGAATAATGGTACTCATCTCTCCTAATTTTATCCTGGGATCTGCGCTGAAGAAGTCGCTTATGAGAGGGTCCCTTCACCGATCTTTTCTGGTTGTCTTCTCTCATCTGTTTCCTTACTCTGGATCCGAAAGACCAGGTGGAGCAAACAACATCCTTCCTTCCCCTCCGGTTAACCCCCTCATGTACCGCACAGGCGCAATATCTGTCCACCGGGGTTTATCCAGATGGCAGGGGAGAAAAATTAAACGAAGAAGAAGAGGAAAAAATTCAAGTGCAGCGATTTAAAACATTTATTATACACAAAGTTATTTCTGCACTTACAAGATTTGAAGAATGAAAGCGTTTAAATGGTAAGAACTTTGCCGTATAAGCACGATGATGTGTGAGAGACGGAGCCAATACTATCCTTTTGTCCTTGACGCGTTTCGTCGTACTCGACTTTTTCAAAAGGCTCACCCTAAATACACACATGTATTTATCCACGGTCATTTATTGATATATGATACACAGTTGTTTTACAGGTGACACAGTTAATTGATTTATTCCTTCACTTTATACACCAAGCGCAGCATATTATAGACTTCACTGTGGTTTTGGTTGCACATTGCTGCAGCTGGTAATTGTTGACCCATTGTGTTTTCTCTCCCCGTGCAACCCCTTGTTTTCTTTTCTTTTTTTCTCAAAGGTGAACTTCATTTTCCCATAGTGCACCATCGCATCATTTGATATTTTTGTTAAATGATTGAAAAGCATTTCCCTGTGTCTTATTGAAGTCTATCACCTCTTATCTGTAGGCATTTGTTTGACTGAAGATAATTGTGCAGATAAACATTATCTTTCATATTTGTTGCAGTTTTTCTCATGACTGCGTATTTGTTCTGAACATTGTATCGTTTTTCTGTATGTTTACCTCATATAATGTGGTTTCTGTGGTCTGAGATGAGGGGTGGTATTCACACATTGCTTTTTAGGAAACCAAGAGTGGAAAGTTAGGGTGTGACTGCATGTTACCGTGTTTTTGTATCGCAGGAAGATTTCAGGTTTGTGTTTTGCTTTGCCACCCTCTGCAATGTTCTCTGTTTGTGAATGTTCATTTTCCCCAAGAACCTTAGTGCCCATATAAAAGCCGGGTGGAAAAATGTCATTGAGAAAGAGGAGCAGTTTCACCTGTTAATGTTGTAAATCAAGCTGTCTGACCAACCTTGTAAAGCTGGCCGACTTTCATTGTGCGATGGTTGTAAGATCATTAAAATTTCGTACGACCTGCCATCTTGGACAGGCAGATCATACTTGCGATCATCGCAAGCCCTCCCCGCTGAGGAGAGGGCTTGCCGATGATTGCAATGCTGAGCGGGCAGTGTGCGCTTGCGGCTTTCGTCTTCCGGGCACGCTACCAACCTGTCTAAAATCATACGCAAGTCGTGCGACTGTACAGTAGATGCGGCCGCACGCTGCCCATGTAGCTGCCGATTTTCGTACAATCGCGGGATCACCCGTGATTATAGTACAATAATCGGCAGGTGTGTGGGCACCTTTAGACGGGACAGAAAATCGGCAGCTTTTCATTACTGTGCATATTTGGTTCAATGGGACAACTGTAGACAGTGTTGTGTACATGTGCTGACAGTTGTCAGACATTCTGTGTATATAGCTACTCTTCAAAAGAGTCTGCAAATCTTCAGAATGTCTTTATTAAAGAGGGATTGGCAGTTTTTGTTGCTTGGGAGAGGCTCCACATTCCTCTCGGTACAGGATGCCTATAGGCTTAATACATCTAGTACTGAATGATCAGATTTTGGTCTGCCAAACATGTAAATGGTCAGATGAGATGGTCTTCTTTTACTGGGTTCTATAGGGATCCTTCTATGTTTCTACCCCGAGGTCCAGACATAAGGGAAACGCAGTAGGGTAAAAGTCCTGGATAATTATATGTAAAGGATGATTTCTTTGCCTAGCCACATTTGTACAATTGGTCTTTTCACTGAGCTTTCAGCATCATCCTGTGGAGGTGTACCGTACGTATGCTGTAAATGTTTGCAGGTTGGCATGTTATTGAAGACATCTGCCATCTCTGGCCACCCTTGGGGCTTGTGTACATGGGCAGATACAGCATGGCTTCAAATGCATTCCATGTCCCGCTTTGTACTCCTTTCCAAGCACATTTTTAAAATGGTGTCTGGGATCCAAAGCTGAACTCCGACCAAATATAAAAGACACGAATGCAGCTCTGCATTAATTTATACACTATTAAACCTGAATTTGACTCTGCCCACCCGCAGCGACTTTCTAACCAGGGCAGGGTCTTCATTTGGTGCAGGAGGGCGCTTAACTTGGGCTCATAAAATACTTTTTTGTGAAAGAATTGTCACAACGTTTAATACCGCTGCGTGCCACTGGAGGGCGACTCGCACATAGCTTGCTAAACACACCAATACAAATTTTACATGCATTCAAGTGATTACCATATACTTCTGTGATTCCTCAAGCTATCCTACAAGCTAGAAGCTTTGTGTTACCACTTTTCAGACGCACGACTCGCAGTAGTCTGCCACCAATTGCAGTTTGTCCGCTGACTGGTTTGCTAGGAAACCATATACACACACCCGGATCCCTGTCTAGCAGATTGGTTAACTTGTGCACACTGACACTAATCTGCATGCAATCTGTAATCACACGACGCAGTTTCATACAGATTAACAGTAAATTCACAACCGAGCGTACAGACACCAGTAACAATGGCCAATCTTTCTAGGAGTATGAATTCGTAGTTTAGTACACAGAAGGCCATTATTAATTTTATAGTTTTAATATCCCTAGGTGGGCAGTGCATGAGAAATATTTACAAAAGTGAAAAAAAATAAAGCAAGTGACATAATATAAAATAGGAGAAGAAAGTTACCATTGGGCAGTATTGTTTGTTCTCCTGGCGGGAGAACGGCGGAAATTTGTAAAAACTGCGTCCTTGGATACTCTCCCAGATGAATACAACGTTCATAATTCCAGCTACCCAATTTATTGGGATGTAGGACAGGCTCTAGCGCTTTGGTCAATCACCTCAGAAGGTGTCGGATTACCTGCTGGGTGGGAAGTTCTGCCTTCTGAAGTGGCCATAGATTTAAGCCCCCTTCATGATCGCTTCTTTCAGCTATTCTATTGTTAAGCCCTTAACTGGGCCTGATATGGAGATCCATGACTCCACCCCTGTTAGAACTATATGTCTACCTTGCTGACACCAATAATGAATTTACCAACACACCCTGACAGCCCCAATATGAGGATTGGAGAAGCTGTTTTGTTGGCTTAGGCAGAATGAGTCCAAGTATGTAACTTTGGGAGTATTGGGTATGTAGATGAAGTATAGTATGTGTAATATGTGTAATATGACCTCCTCTGTATCGCATTTGTTTCATTTACATTTGACCATAAATGTTTCCTTCCTTCATTTCGCAGCCTAGATTGTAATTTCTAGAACCTATTAACATGGTTTTTTTTTTTTTTTTTTTCAGGGTTGGTGTTTTGGAAGACTCCTTTACCTGCCTGGGTATCTTCTGCGCCATCTTTTTTTTCCCAATTGGGATCCTGTTCTGTCTTGCCTTGAGGCAGCGAAGATGCCCCAACTGCGGTGCCACGTTTGGTTAAGAAGACAAACCAAGGCAGCATTCTTTATCCTGCACTTCTTAAACTCCTTTCAATGCACAATCCTTCTCTATAATTAAATAGCATCTTGTTTCTGGGTGTATGATCAGTCTGAATAGAGGGGGGGGCGACTCTGTGCCATAGAGACACATGGAAGTTTACTGCTTCCAGACACCAGTGCCTTCAGAGACTGTACCAATATCCCGTCCCAACCCTTGGCAGATGTCATTTGAAGATTAGGTTCCCTTCGCCCGTGTTCACCTAGTTCTGTGTACATTTGTGTCATACCTTTTCTTTTTCTCTGTAAGATGTCTTTGAAAAACTGTAATTTTATAGTAAAACGATACAGCACTGTGAAAGAAAAGTTTATGTCCTCATTAAGATGAACAAATGGTCTATTATGCAGCTGCATTCTCTTTCTTATTATGGTCTAAAGTGCTCCCATTATTACTCCCTTTGGCAAAGCCATTTTGACAACCTCTGTAGCCTTCTAAGAAAGCAGCTTATAGATTCATTAAGAGCCAGTAACATTACTGCTGAACCAAATGCCTTTGTAGAATTTAGATGCTCATTGTGAATTATTAAATTGGTGTCTTGCGTGTGGTATGTGCACCACTGGTGGCACTTGAATGACCGGAGTGGATGTGTGAAGGACCGGTTGGCTCATTTGAGGCTGGGTCCAGCAGCGTGGGGCTTTTGCTGTAGTAAGGGTTTGGGGGTTTCCACTTTATTGACTTTAATGGCAATTTTGAATAGGGCAGTTTCCTAATTGGAAATGGGGGGGAGCAAAGTAGGGCAGCCATTTTAATAAGAAAGTTGAAGAAAGCCACTGGAAACCTATAACAGACCACATGTGTCTACTGTTATGGAAAATAATGGTAAGAAAGGCAATAAAAGATATAGGTGGCACAGAGACAATGCAGGAATCTGGAAATATTTGTTATCTGGCTTTGATTTTGATCCTTTGTGGAACAAATATGCTTACCACAAAAGTTTGCAGTCCTGATCAGCATGCAATAGCTCAAAGTATTAAAGTAGGCAGGTTAGTGTGGAGCCAGGCATCCAGCTTTTCTTAAAGGAGAACTATGGGGTTAGGGCTTTTCCCCATAGTTCTCCTAAGGGTAACGGGAGGACACAAACTAGCGTCCTCCCGTCACCTAAAGCTCGCGGTATGCTGAGATGCCGCAGCCGAGACGGATCCCGACAATACTGTCTGGATCCACCCAGCTGCGTGAGTGACAGCTGGCTCTGCCTATCTAGAGGCAGAGCCAGCTGTACCCGCCTCCTCACCCGTCCGTTCCGCCAGTCAGCGCTGGAGGATCAGACAGGGCAGGGGGGAATCCCTGCAGGGAGCCGTGAGTGACAGTCACGGCTCTCTGCAGGCACAGGATCGAGAAGTGAGCGACGGTATGTGTTCGCTCACTTCCCGATCTATTGAGCTGACGTGTGACAATTTATTTCACAAAGATTTTATTTGGTTTTTGTCAGTTTTTTCACATAAAAGATTACAAAAAGAATGGAAGTGGGGCATGCAAGCCCTGCAATAAGGCACTTGAACGGAAAACAAACAGCTACAGCATCGTGCAGAGCCCTGCAGGCCGTAGAGCAGGAGCAGTGAGGCAAGTGCCAGAGTGTAATTTGGGAGTTAGAAGGAGCTATTGCAGTTCAGGGGCGTGTGACAATTTCATTGTCACACGTCGGCTCGAACTATGAAGCTGAGTGCTTTTCACTCGCCTCATAGTTCTCCTTTTTTAAGTGACCAAAAAAGATAAATAAAAGTTGTCATTTATAAAGGATCTGTCCACAATGTTAGGAGAAAGGTCGGTGTAGAAGCCACTTCTCAGGACTAAAGATTTTAGAAGTAATGATCGTTATACCTGTCGAGTATCAGGAAGGATTATATACTGCCACCCTTGAGCCACGCATATGTGATAACATAATACAGTAGTGTCACCCTCATTATTCCTAAAATGCTAATGCAGTGGGAAATATCTGAAGTATCCTGGAGGTATAAGAATTGAAAGCCCAATTGTACTTTGTTTCCTGGCCTGTGCCTGGACAGTCGAAGGAATAGAAAAGATAGTACCCTGCCAGCATGCTGCAGGGTGGAAAAGTGCTCCCTTTTGTGGAGGTCTGACATCCCTATTACCGAGTCAGAGATAGAGCTCTCCAGTCAGCAGGGAGCATGAGCTTTTCTGTAGGCAGACTCTGCAGGGGAATGTCAGACCTCTGCAGAAAGAACACTGCTTCCACACTGAGAGCCACAGTCCCCCACAGCATGCTGGCAGGGGACAGACATTTCTACTCAGGTCCAAAGAAAGCAAGCTGCAAGACATTACACCTTTTTGTTTTGATGCACGTGGAATGCATTTAGCTGATTTAAACTGAAGTTTGGTTGGGCTTTAAAGCAGTGCCGCGGTCAAAATACAGTTGCTAGTGACATTTGTGTGGCATGTTGGGTATTCCCAGTTGTCTGTAAGTCAGCATCTTATTAAGCATCCTCGCACCGAGGAGCGCTTTTATTCAACTCCTGCAGCTTTGAGCTCTGTTCTGCTTTACATGCATCACTGACTAATCGTAAGGATCTGGGGGGGGGGGGGGGGGCCCC